TGGAGAAGAGTATTGAATGTACCATGGACTGCCAAGAAAACAAACAGATTCATCCTAGAGAGGGTTAAACCAGGCTGCTTCTTGGAGGCAAGGATTCTGGGGCTTCGCCTGACATACTTTGGACATGTTGTAAGGAGAGACATGTCTTTAGAGCGGGACACCATGCTGGGTAGAGTGGAGGGACGGCGCAGGAGGGGAAGACCCTCTATGAGGTGCATTGATTCAGTGACTGGGGTAATTGGGATGGGTGTGTCAGAGGCAATGAGATTGGCACGGGATAGAGCACGGTTTAGGGCTATTGTACATAGGATCACTTTGAGTCGCAAACGACTCGATGGCACATAACAACAACAACAATAACAGGGCTATGTTGTTGTTGTTAGGTGCCATTGAGTCAAGTAGGACTCATAGCAATCCTATGAACAGCCATACTGAAACCTGCTCTATCCTGTGCCATCTGAGACAGTAGAGCCCATTGCTGAAGTCACAGTGTCAATCCATCCTGTTAGGGGGCAGGAGTCAGTTTTGCTAACCCTCCATCTTTCCAGCATGATGTCCTTTTTTCAAGGAACAGCCTCACCTAGCTACATGTCCAAAGTAGAAAAGATATTGTTAGGTGCCGTCGAGTCGCCTGTGACTCATAGAGACCCTATGCACAACAGCCCTAAACCCTACTCTATCCTGTGCCAATCTTATTGTATCTGACACACCTAGCCCCATTACCCCAATTACTGAATCAATCCATTTCATTGAGGGTCTTCCCCTCTTGCGCTGCTCTCCACCCTCCCAAGCATGATGTCCCTCTCCAAGGACTGGTCCCTCCTTGCAACATGTCTAAAGTATATTAGACAAAGCCTCAGAATCCTTGCTTCCAAGGAGCAGCCTGGTCTCACCCTCTCTAAGACAAACCTGTTTTTTCTCCTAGCAGTCCATGGTATATTCAATAGTCTTCTCTAGCACCACAGCTCAAACGCATCAATTCTCCTTCTATCATCCCTAGTCATTGTCCAGCTTTCTGATGTATACCAAGTAATTGCAAAGACTATGGTTCAAAATTGGGAAGGGTGTACGCCAAGGATGCATCCTGTCTCCATAACTTTTCAACATGTATGCAGAGCAGATTATCCGAGAGGCTGGGCTCTATGAGGAGAATTGTGGCATCAGGATTGGTGGAAGATCTATTAACAATCTGTGTTATGCAGATGACACAACCCTGCTTGCTGAAACTGAGAAGGACCTCATGCACTTGCTGCGAAGGGTCAGGGACTGCAGCCTTCAGTATGGACTGAGGCTCAATGTCAAGAAGACAAAGATTCTCACCACTGGACCAATTCGCAGCGTCAGGATGGATGACGAAGAGATTGAGAGTGTTCACAGCTTCGGTTTGCTTGGCTCCACAGTCAACACTCTTGGCACCAGCAGTCAGGAAATCAAAAAGTGTATTGTGATGGGAAAGTCTGCTGTTAGGGACCTCTCTCAAGTACTCAGGAGCAACAGTGTCTCTCTGGAGACTAAGGTGTGCCTGATACAGGTCATGGTATTTGCAATCGCTTGTTATGCATCAGAGAGTTGGACAATGACTAGGGAGGACAGAAGGAGAGTGGATGCTTTTGAGCTGTGGTGCTGGAGAAGGGTACTGAATGTACCATGGACTGCCAGGAAAACAAACAGATTTATCTTGGAGAGGATTAAACCAAGCTACTCCTTGGAGGCAAGGATTCTGGGGCTTCGTCTGACATACTTTGGACATGTTGCCAGGAGGGACGTGTCCTTGGAGAGGGACATCATGCTTGGGAGGGTGGAGGGACAGCGCAGGAGGGGAAGGCCCTCTATGAGATGGATTGATTCGGTGACTGGGGTAATCGGGATGGGTGTGTCAGAGCGGTGTGGTTGGCGCAGGATAGAGAAGGGTTTAGGGCGGTCGCTATGAGTCAGAAATGACTCGACGGCACATAACAATGACATGGCCTGAATAAGGTCCACCTTAGTCTCTAGACTGACATCATTGCCGTTCAGTACTTTGGAGAAGTCTCTGACAGCACTTTCCCCGTACAATTAATCTTTTCATTTCCTGGATGCTGGTACCAAGAGTGTTGATTGTGGAGTCAAGCAAATTAAAGCTGTTAACAATTTCAATCTCTTCACCATCTATCATGATGCTGCCAATCGGCCCAATGGCGAGAATCTTTGTTTTCTTTATGTTGAGCTTCAATCCATATTGAAGGCTTCAGTCCTTGACCTTCTACAGCAAGTGCTTCAGGTCCTCCTCAGTTTCAGCAAGCAGGGTTTTAGATACCAACAAAGATAGCTTTTCTTGAACTAATCACAGCTTGCCCCAGGGCATTGGTAAAATGTTGTGGCTTACTGAAGGAGGTATGGAATGACTCCTCTAAGTCTCAGAGCAAGGGTACAAGGCGAGATTGACTGACTCACCGTGTGAAGAAGTGCAGAAGTGCAGTCAAGTTAGCTAACAGTGGAGCTAGTTAGAAAGTGCTGCCTGCTTTGAGGAAATTGCAGCTGTCCTGAGAGCACAAAAAGATACTGCTACTGACTCACTTTGGTAAGGGTGTAAAGGTGGTGGGGTTAAGCGGTGTTGACTTAAATAGGGCGATTGACTGACAGTGGCATTTGCGGGGAGATATATGACAGGACTCCAAGGCTCATAACAAGGGCAGGCCGGATGGCAAACTCGTCTATGACTGTTGACAACATGATTGGCTAACAATGTGATAGACAGCCTCACACAGAAGAAGAACCTCTGGCAATCCCTGCTAGAAGCGCTGTGGACACCGCCCCGCCCAGACGCACACTGGGAAACCGCGGGCGAGAAACCGCCTTTGGGACCGGTCGAGGTAGCGGGGAGGGTTTCAGTCAAACTAGCCTGTTGGTCTGCGCGGGCGCCGCTCGCTATACAGCGTGGCCAATAGGCTGTGCGTTCGCGGTCACGCCCGCGCGAGCTCTCTTCTCGCGAGGCCGGATAGGCCCGAATGTAGTTAGCCGTGGGGAAAGATGGCGGAAAATTTAAAAGGTGAAGTAGTGGCGGCAGTTGTGCGGGTCCCCTGACCAGGCCAGGGTGGGCTGGAGAGATGACGGACGTCGTGGTCTAGGGGCCCAGAGTGTTAAGCGATATAGCCGGTAGCCGGCAGCTTGGTGCAGAAAGCATGGGGCTCGGGAAGCGCGGGCCTGGTGCGCGGAGCTGGGCGGGGCTGTGGGAAAGGGTGCTCATGTCTTGGAACTCGGCGGGCACGGGGCGAACGTCGGACGCGGAATGGGACAGGTATGGGACAGGCGCCCCAGATAAGACCGGCGCATCTACATGTAAAGGGATGTTTACAAGGCCACGCACGCGCGCGGGAAAATGCACCCCCAGTGACCGTTATCTGCCACATATCCACGCGAGATGAAGAAAAGGGAAGGAAGGGGGCTAGACCTAGGGTATAGGTAGTAAGTGATCTACTTAGTGAGAGCAGGGGTAAAGAGATCTTTGAGGTTTGGAGTAGAGAGGTCTACTCCAGGCGGAGAGATAAGGCAGTGGACTCTCCCGTGTTGAATAGGAGTGATTTTCTCTGTACGGGACAGGGTTAAGTAGGTGCCTGTGTCAAAAATGCTTCCGGGAGCTCAGAGACCACAACTGTGGAAGAGTGCTCTGAGAATGAGAGATGCACCAGGCCTTCTTGAGGTGGGACACTTCTAGTGTGGTTTAGGGAGTTTGGAAAGTGGAAGCAAGCCTGGACACAGGCCAAGAGTATGGAAGAAAGATGGAGTTGAAAAACCTAGGCTTGCTTAAATGGAGGAGTAAAGTATACATTCAATAATTTTTAAAAGCTCTTATATGGTTTTAGGTTGACATACTATTTCATCATTAGTTTAAATAAACCTGGTTTATTATTTAATGGGAGGTAGAAAATATTAAACATTTAAACACTATTACAGGTGGCATAGTCACGGTGGACTGCCTGACAGTGGCCAGTTTGAATCCACCAGCAGCCCCAAAGGAGAAAGACGGCCGGTTTTTTCTCATGCCATTTAGGGCTTTGGAAAAACTGCTGGACCGTCAGCTGTAAGTTGATTTTGACTTAACCAGCAATATGCAGTTTAAAAATAGAATGAGAATTGACTACACCTGGAAAAGGTTTTATGAAATGATTTGCTAAAATGGCTTCCAGAGGAATATGCCTAGAATCAAAGAAATCTTTATTTTTAAAATCTGTTTCTCTTAAAAAGGTGTGTAGCTGAAGAAAACATTCCAGGTATATTTAAAGGAATAATTACTAATGTACACTACTTTGCCTGTTCCTGAATTCAGAACATTCCTTTGGGCTAGCTTTCCCCTTCACAGAAATAATGAATGAGACAGTGAAAGTCAAATTAGTGTGGGGAAAAAAAGTAGTGGAGTTTAAGATACCATGACTAACCAATCAAGGAAGTTTTCTGTAATATACTGCCATTCCACATTCTCTTATTTAAAAATTCTTAAATCTAAAAAGCCCTGAAAATGGAAATATTTTCCTAAAATTGAGCACCATTCATTGGCAAATTAGATTATAAAGTAAGACTATTTAAAGCTACCATTTTATATCTTTATTTGTCTTGTTTAATGTGAAAATTATTACATTATTACATTTACTGTATATATATTAATACATTTGATTATAGCATGATGCCTTTGACCATGCTATGAGTGTTAACTAATATATAGTAGATACTTAGAAATACACATTTATAAAAATAAACGTTTATAGATTCTCATCATCCTCCAGCTTCAGATAAGATATTGTGGACCAGTCTTTCCAGTTTTGCCTCTATTTTGTGCCTTGGAGGTTTAATCCCCCTTTTCCCTTGTATCAGTAGGTGCATCCTATACTGAGGGGTGTGTGTATAGAGTGGTTGTACCTTTCTTTTGCAAAGTGGGCAGAAGGATGATCAGAACCTGAAGCCTAGGCTAGTTGACTGGAAGTTTTAACACATGGTAGTGGTAGTTTGAAGCTAGGATAATTTATTCTTTTAGGACAATCTATGCGTCAAACTACTTTGATGATTGCTTCAGTAGTAACGTTGAACAGTGGGCCTTGGGGTTCAAGGATGGTGTACATTTTGGTTGTGGAAGGGCCTTTGCTCCAGAAAGACCTGTGGATTAACTTTGACTCTGCAACAGTCCTTGGAAGACCTTGGGGAAGATTGGGGTCCTCTTTGGCACCTAGACTGGCCACAAAACCAGCAATAGTTCTTCTTGTTCCAGGCTGCAGCGTGTGTTGCAAGTCTTCTCGGAATCAGCTACAGGATCTATGTCGCCTGGCCAAGCTCTCCTGTCCTTCCCTTGGTGTTTCCAAAAGGAACCTCTATGATTTTGAAGTCGAGTACCTGTGTGATTACAAAAAGATTCGGGTGAGTCTGGGGACCATGACCCTGGGGGATGTTTCTTACTTGCCCTCTTACCTCTTACTGACTTCATCTGTTTCCAAAGAGAATTTTCTCCTTTGATCCTAAAAGATAGCATCTCCCATTTTATAGTAGGGAAAGAAGTTACTTTCTGAGGGAACTGAAGCCTGGATGAATCCCCAAATAAGTCTTTCACTCCCACCTGCTTAAGACAACAAACCAATTGTAAAGATTGAGACTACTTCTTAGATGCTGAGCCCAGGAGTGAAGGTGATGATAGTAATAACAGGGTGCTAGCCTCTTCCTAAGAAACCTATTTAATTTCCCCAACTATGAAGTGGGAACTGTTGTCATTGCTAAGTAAGGGTAGTTAGGAGAACAGACTAGACCTAGCATGCTTGGATTCAAATCCTGGCTATATAACCCCAGGCTGTTTACCTAAAATGACTTTATTTCATTTACCTCATCTGTAAAATAGGGATGATAATGACAATATCTAGCTTGTAAAGGATAAGGAGGGAGTTCTGGTGACCAAGTGGTAAGAAGCTGCGCTGCCAACCTAAAGACACACAGTTCGGATGTGTGAGCTGCTCCTTGGGAGAAAGATGGGCAATCTCATGAAGTTTACTACCTCAGAAAACCTACTGGAGGGTCAGCTGTGAGTCAGTTCTGATTCAGCGGTACATAACAACATAGGGTAATGAGAAAGAAATTAGTTAATAATACATGGAAAATTCTTAGACTGGAACCTGCCACAGTGAATGCTAGAAAAATGTTAGCCATTTTCTTGGTTTGTTTTTTTTCCCCTCTGTGATTCTTGTTTGCATTCATCCTTCTTTGCTCTCCCTTTTTGTCCTCTGAGCATTAGCCCTGGGCCAGTGCAGTGCTGCCCTTTTGATTGTGTGTGGTTCTGAGGACTGAACAGCTCTTTGGAGGTACTGTTCACCTTATAGAGCTCAACTGTTTGACTGAAAGTTTTGCTATGGATTGGGGCTTAAAGAGTGACTAAGGAGCATAGTTTTGGAGGGCACTACCAATTTCTGTTAATACAACTTGGTACTAGCAGTCAAGAGATCAGGAGATCTATTGCATTGGTCAGGGACCTCTCCAAATTATTGAGTAGCAATGATGTTAGTTTGAGGATTAAGATGCTCCTGATTTCAGTCCATGGTCTTTTTAATCACTTGTTATGTTGCTAAGGAGCCAGGCAATGAATAAGGATGACAGAAGAATTGATGCCTTTGAAATGTGGTTTTGGAGAAGAGTACAGAGTATCCCATGGACTGCCAAAAGAACAAATACATATGTTTTGGAGAAAGTGCAGCAGAGTGCTCCTTGGAGGCAAAAATGATAAAGCTCCATCTCACATACTTTGCGCATGTTGCTAGGAAAGGCAGTCCATTGGAGAGGGACATCATGCTTGGGAAAGTTGATGGATGGTGATAAAGAGAACGACCCTCAACCAGGTATATTGATACAGTGAGTGCAGCAATGGGCTTGAGCTACCAGTTTATGAGGACGGCACAGGATAGGACAGAGTTCAGATAGGTTGTTTATAGTGTCACTATGAGTCATACTTGACTCAATGGCACCTAACAACAACAGCCAGTTTCTATCAGATTGATAACCCTGGCCATTTTTATGATTTTGGGTTTTATTCTACATTTATCTCCCACTCTATTAGAACCTCCTTTTGTGCTCTCTTTAAGAGTTGTCTGTAGTGGTTAATGTGACACTCTCTAGACCTTCTGGTCTCTGGGTCATGGAAGTTGAGGTTCAAGATGTCTTATTAGTGCTGTAGATTGTTTACATGCATCTTTGAATTTTTCACTCTTTCCTCCATATTTTTATTTATACATGAGAAAACTGTGGCCCAGCAAAGTTAAATGACTTGCTCAACATCACAGAGGGTTAGGTGGATGCAGGGGAACACATTTCAGCCAAATGGTGAGATGATAGTGGTAGTGAGGATGGTTTGAAATGGTTCGATTCCAGAGATACCTTGAAGGGAGGGCTGGCATAATTTGCTGAAGGTGGATGTGGAGAGTGTGACACAATGAGGAGTGAAGGACACAAGGCTGATGTTACTTGAGATGGAGAAGATAATGGAGGGAGTAGGTTTGGGAGATTAGATTAAAGTTGGAATTTGGAAACTGGTAAGTGAATTTGAATTTAAGAGGGTCACTATGAGTCAGAGTCAATATGGCAGTGAATTTGGTCTTTGGTTTTGAATCCTCCAGAGCCTATACTTTCTGACGGTTACATGGAGTCATTCTAGAAAAGAGAGGAGAGGAATAATTCATCTGCATTGTAGAAGTCCGAAGTCCTACAGGGGCTTGCTCAAGGGTCACACCATTTAGTGATGCCTTTGTCCCCTGCCTCCCAACAGGAACAAGAATATTACCTGGTAAAGTGGCGTGGATACCCAGACTCAGAGAGCACCTGGGAGCCACGGCAGAATCTGAAGTGTGTCCGCATTCTCAAGCAGTTTCATAAGGACTTGGAAAGAGAGATGCTCCGTCGACATAACCGGTCAAAGCCACCTCGGCATTTGGATCCAAGCTTGGCCAACTACTTGGTCCAGAAGGCTAAGCAAAGGCGAGCACTAAGGCGGTGGGAGCAGGAGCTCAATGCCAAGCGTAGCCACCTGGGACGCATCACTGTGGAAAATGAGGTGGACCTGGATGGGCCTCCAAGAGCCTTTGTCTATATCAATGAGTATCGTGTTGGTGAAGGCATCACACTTAACCAGGTGGCTGTGGGCTGTGAGTGCCAGGACTGTTTATGGGCTCCTGTTGGAGGGTGCTGCGCAGGAGCATCACTGCACAAGTTTGCCTACAATGACCAGGGCCAAGTGCGGCTGCGAGCAGGGCTACCTATCTATGAGTGTAACTCACGCTGCCGCTGTGGCTATGACTGCCCCAATCGAGTGGTGCAGAAGGGCATTCGCTATGACCTCTGCATCTTCCGCACAGATGATGGACGTGGCTGGGGTGTCCGCACACTGGAGAAGATCCGTAAGAACAGCTTCGTCATGGAGTATGTGGGAGAGGTATGGAGATGGGACATATGTATGTGTCTGCAGCTCTTTCCATCATGTGTTTCCAAAGTGTGTGCCTTGCTGTCCTCACTGTGTGTGTCTTAAATGTTCCTGCTTTCCCTGAGGCTTTTAATCAAAGTGTGATAGGGACATCCTGGCAAGGCCAGTATTCTAAGCTGGAACACACAAGTGTAACCTTAAAATATTTATAGGTTTAGTTGACTTCATGGGGGGGGTTACGTGACTACCAAGAAGGAAAAGTGGGAACAAATTCAGGTACACATATTGGGCACAGCACTGTACTCCCTGAAAAAGCACTTGCTTTTCTCATTCATCTGTACAAAAGGAACACTGATGGCTTTGGAGAGAGGTTGGATACTTCCTACATTACATTTTCAGGACACTGAAGAAAAGGAGGGTGTATTAGGGTAGGTTAGATACTGTAATAAATAACCCCATGGTTTCTTTTCTTTTTTTAAAATTTTTATTTATTTATTTATTTAGTTAGTTAATGTGTGTACCATCAAATTGGATCTGACTGGTACAGGAGGCGATTGTTCCTCCTTTTTCAGCAGAGCATCTGGTGGATTTGAACCTTGCACCTCTGGGATTGCAGTGCAGTTTCCTGCCACTAGGCCACCAGAGCTCGCCAACCCCATGGTTTCTTATGTGAGAAGTTTGCCTGTTCATATGAGTCTAGTATGTGTGTTTGCATGAGCATCATTTCAGAGTGACTTGAGGAGCTGTGCTCTTTCTTATGCCTTTGATTTGGTTTAGCACCTTGGAATCCACCACCAGATCTTCAGCATTGCCTGGAAGTGGGGTGGAGTGGTTTATAATGGGCCAGACCCAGACGGTAAACATCATTTCTGCTCACACTCAATTCCTGGAACCAAGGAAGGCTGGAAAATAAACATTAGCTGAGGGCTTCAGTGGAAAACAAAAAGAGAGTTTAGGTGAATAACTATCATGTGTCAGCAGCAGAAAGTGTTATCGTCTAAGGTTGTATTTCTCACAAGAAGTGTGAAATGTAGCGGGCATTTTGGGTGGACCAGTTCTTTGTTATATAGAACCATTTCATGTGTGGAGATGGAACATTTAGCATCTATGGGCTTTGCTTATTTAAATCATGTGTGTCCTGTCTTGGTGCTTCCCTGTGGAAGTATGTCCATGTATTTCCAAGACTCCAAAGGGATATGACATGGTTTGAAAGTGACAGAAACTAGTTTAATGAACACATATTTGAGAGTGTCCACATTGAGGAAAAAATAGAGAGGGTCATACTCAAAACGATCATTAGGCAGAGCAATATACATTCCAGAGGACCCAAACAGTTTGAATAAGGAGATATACACACCCAGATAATTCTGGGTCTCATAGAGGAAATGTCCATTATGTTGAAGGACCCTGACAGTCTGGAGGAAGGAGATACTCATATTCTAGAGGTTCTGATAGGCTGAAATAAGAGGTGTCCTTAGCAGAAGAGATGCTGAGCATCTGAAAGAAAGTGAGCTCATACACTCTAGATGACCTTAACCATCTGGAGGAGAAGATGACCGTTATAGAGGTAGAAGTCCAGAGGGGAGGTATCTACACACTCACTGTTTTGACAGTTTACAGGAAAGCTGTGTGTAACACAGAGGATCCTGACAGATGAGTAGGAGGAAGAATCTCACAGGCAGCTCCAAAGGCCTCTGGTCCTGATATTTTTCTGACCTTCTACACTGTAGGAACTCTAGTGGTTTTGACATTCAGCCACTCTAGTGGCTAAGACATTCAGTTAATAACAAGGTCAGTGGATTAAACTCACCAGTTGCTCTGCAAGAGAAAGATAAGGTAGCTTGCTTCTGTAAAGACTTACAGTCTTAGAAACCTTATCAGGCAGTTCTGTTCTGTCCTACCATGATTTACTGTGAGTTGGAATCAACTCAGTGGCATTGGTTTTGGTTCCTCCATCCTTTAAACATCAGGGTTTCCAGGGACCCTCTGACTGCATTTCCTACTTTCTACCATTTCTTAACCTCCCTTCCACCACACTTGGCAATTTTTAGGCTCCTTCAACTTTGGGTCCCAACACTACTAGAACCAATCTCATCTTTCTGTACTTCCCCTCTGGAGAGACAGTGTAGCAAAGTAGCTAGTGTGGACCCTAGTGCCAGACTGCCTGAAATTGAATTCCAGTGCCACCAGTTATCTGAACTATCTCTTGGTTTCCTAATCTTTAAAATGGGAACAATAATAGTTCCCATTTTACACACTTGTTTTAAGAATTAAATGAGTTAATATTTTATTGGGGGAAAAGCACTTGACTAGTGTTTAATACACAATTGTGAGGTGCTTTCGAGTTGACTCTGACTCATCGCTACTCTGTGAACAACAAATCAAAACACAGTAAACCTTCAGTGAATATTATCCATTACAGTCAAAATTTAAAAATAGAAAATTCCCTGAAAAGCAAAAAAAATTCATGTAACCCCTTTGACTAGATAATGCAGTCTGATCCAGTAGGGGCCTATTTATCTCACTTGGTATGAATACTCATACATTTTCTTATAGAAGTATTAATAATTTGATGTAAGAAATATACTTGATGTCCTTACCTACTTTACGTTAGGGTTGTTAAGGAGCCCTGATAAGTGTAATGCTTAATATATTGGGCTGCTAACAGAAAGGTTTCCAGTTCAAATCCTTCTCTGCAGGATTAGAACTTTCTGTTATGGACAGTCTCCTTACATAAAGATATACAGCTTTGGAAACCCAGTGGAGAGTTGTAAGAATCTAACTATGAGTTGGAACTAACTCAATAGCAGTAGGCTTGAATTTGTTTTGTTGTTGTTTTTTATTCACTTGAATATTAGTAATATAGGGAAGGCACTCCATGCTTTCCTTTTAAAATGTTCACATGACGGTTTTTTGTTTCTTCCCCCAACCCCCCAAAAAATCTCTCCGTTATTTTACCAGTGGTCCCTCCACTTGAGCTACCTTTATCTCCTTTGCACTCTTCCACTTTCTGTTCAGAACTCATTATTCCCATGAATAATGAACTCATTATTCCCATTCTCATCCAGAAGAGAACAATAATTGTATGTTTTATTGATTCTAAAACTTTTCTTCTTGTTTTCACATCTCTAAAATTGAGTTTGACTTGATTAAAAAAATTATTAGTAGCAGTTTTTCCTTTTTTTTTTTGTAAAGGGCACATAAACTAAAGGTGCAGCTTTGATTTTGACAAGATACATACATCTGTCTGGTCTGTCCACTTGCTGTACAGAGGTAACTCGTGGTGGCTGTGAAGCTGAACACTGAGACACTGATGTATTAAATGCGAGAATGGTTACCCATGGTGGACAGTGTTTGGTTCAGCTCCCCGATTAAAACAAGCTTGGAAGCAGGAGTGGCATCCAGTTCTGAAATAGCTTGCCTCCGGAAACTCTGAACCTGGAGAAAGGATGAAAGTTATACAAGTGTCCAGGTCTTTTGTTCTTAGGGCCATTATGAGTCGCCTACGACTCAACGACACTTAACAACAACATTACTCATAATCACTTGACATTGCTCAGTGTCTAAATTAATGCAAAATAAAAACAGCTTTCATATCCATGATCTTTTTGGCTTTTCCAACAGCTTCTATCAGATTAGAATTAATGTCATTATCCTATTCTACAGATTAGGAAATTGACATTTAGCGCTCAGAGCTGCCAAACCATTGTTGTTGTATACCGTAGGATTGGAACTGACCCATAGCTGACCCTCCAGCAGGTTTTGGGTTTTCAGAGGCACAGGAGGACATTACACATCCTTCTGTGGAGCAGCTGGTGTCCTCAAACAGTGGTGTGCCTTTGGGATTGCAGTGCAGCTCTTTGCCACTATTGGGTTAACAATGTATACAAATTTCATAAGTAAACCAGTATAAAATAATAATTAAAAAGCCCCACAGTCTGAAGAAACATTTTTAAAAAAACGTCCAAGTGTCTAAAATGATGCTTTATCAGAGTGGTTGGATTCTTTTTTTTTTTTTTTTCTGAGGAAACAAGCAGTAAGTGACTATCAGGATTTCAGGTCCAGGAGGGGGCAGAGCAACAGCCTTACAAAATTTTGTTTCCTACTCACTTTAGCACCCTTTCCAAGCTGCCAGCTTTTATTGTATCTGTCTTCTCCAGTGATTCTAGAAGGCTTCTCAGGAATGGGGACATGGACTCATTTGTTCTCAAGTTTTCAGAGTGGATTAGCCATTAGAGTAGAAGAAACCATTTGTGCCCTGGAAAACTTGCAATATGACTCATTCCTGGTGAAACTGGAGCAAGTAGGGGCAGAACAGGTGGAAAGATAAGAGATTGTGAAGGGAGGGAACAGGACAAAATAAACATGCTAATGCCTCATCCATTCTGTTCATGGGGCCATGAGCGTCTTGACTTTTGGTCTTAGTGTTTAATTAGAAGTGGCTAGCTGCTAGCGTAGGGTGGGACATGAAAGGTTCAGAGAGGCTGCCCAGAGATGTAGCATCCGTTTGGATGTCACTTCAGGGAAAAGTGAATGTTCTCCAGGAGGGAGAATGGGGTTTTTTTTCCCTTTCTAGTAGGGTGACTGGGTTGGGTTTTTTCTTTTTTTTTAGTGGTTTGCTTACAAAGTTCATCTACATTGTGTTTCACACTATTCTTCATCCATATTGCGATTCATACATTCTCATGCATTATGTTTTATAAAATCATTCACCATTGGACCTTGCCCATCATTACCCTGTCTTTTCACCTGGATCCTTCCATTTCCCAGCTCCCACCCACCAAACTGTGCAACCCTGTGGTTTCATGCCTGCCCATCCTGAGCCCTCTCCACCTTGAGTTCCCATACATGTTTTACAAGTTATCCTTCTATTTTTACAATAATGGTCTTAGGCAGTATTTGTCCTTATGAGACTGCATTAGTTCACTCAGCATAAATGTGATTTTAACAAAAGTTTACAGAATAGTTGTCTTTTCATTCATTCATTGTTGCACATTTTCCTCCTTGCCATCCTTTTGCCCTACCCTGGAGGGAGAATGATCTTGATATACCCCTCCTCAAGGTACTGCTATGGCTTCTGTTGCATTCCTCAGGAAAGTGCCGACACTCCAACCTGGTGTCAAAGCCTTATAGGATCAGTAACTTGCTTCAGTTGATTTATCTCTTTGATTCTTCTTCAAACTCTGTCTACTCATCTACAACTTGCTGTGTGAATGTGTGAGTCTATCTCTGTCACCGGAATGTAACCTGAGGGCTGGACTGGGCCAAGTTCCTATGTCTCCTCTAGACTGTGACCTCTGAAGACAAGACCAGTGTTGGATCTGTGTCTCCCACCAGACTGTGATACCTCAGGGCAGAACCATTTCTGGTTCTTGTGTCTCCCCTGCTAGACTGAAACTCTGAAGACTGGAACTAGGCTGGTATAAGCCACAATAGAAATCTGTTAAATGGATAGACAAAAATTTGGGTCATGAAGGAGCTTTGGAATGGAGGTGTGGGCACTGTGTTCCAGTGACTCAGACTTGTTTTTATAAAGGTGCTATTGATCAGCATTTGGTAGGAAACTGAAGCTAGAATAAGGCAGGAAGGGAACAGGACATAGTCTTCTTGGCTAGAGAAAATGGAGGGTGTGCAAGACTAGAAGGGGACAGACTAGAAAGTAGGAAGAACATTGTCAATGGAAGGAACAAGGTGAGTCTTGGGTTTGCTTCTAATATTGAAAGTGGGAGTGGTGGTTGACAGTGTTGCCGGTAGGATATCACTTGGACAGAGAACAGGTTGCTGGGCTAGAAAGCATAATACAAATAAACAACATTTTTTTTTTAGTGGCTACTAGTCTGGCCCTGTTCTGTAAGGATTGGGTGTAGAAAAGTAATAGGAAAACTAGGACAAGAAAACGGACCTGACTTGGTCTAGAGGTAGCCTAGGCTGAGAGGGAATAGCCTTATCTCACATAGAGTGTTAACATTTGGGAATCACCAGAACATTGTACAAAAGAGGAAAAGTGGGACTAGAAGAGATGGAGAAAAGATTTTTGTCAGAGTAGGGTGGTAATCCATGGACAAAAATTGGAATGCAAGGGCAGGTTGGAGCTTGGATAACCAAGGTGGGGAGAAAGATTTGGGAGATTATCATTACCTTAAATGCTAGCTGTTGGCATTGAATAACCTGGGGACTGAGAGAGGGACACTCCTGCTATTCTTATCTCTTGTTTCTCTCATATTCTGGTTTTAACACTTTCTCTGAGTTTGTGGCCCTAGCTTTCTCCTGGGGTGGGGGGGTCTCAAACTCTCAGGAGTCTTTCTGTCTTTCTGGACCTGAATCTTCATTGATAGGATTCTGTCTCTGTTTCTGACTCTTGTCTTTTACAGAATTCCTTTCTTATTCATTCAGTGTCTCTTTTATACCCTCTCAGATCCCTCTCTAGATCTCTTCCCTTGCCCACCCTGATCTGTGCTGGCTTTTTTTCTCCACTACCCCCATCTCTATTGCACCCTGGGTCTCCTACTTTGTCCTTGCTCTGGATCTCTCTTACTCAGTTTCACAAGGGGTCTTTCTTTTGTACTTTAACTATGCACCTTGTTCTCATTTTTGTTGTTTCACATATATACTCTAGTGCATGCTGACTATACACTGTCATTATTTTGGTATATCTCTCTGAGTCCTTCTTACTCTGCCTCAAGGGCACTGGAGGCTCTGGAGATCCCAAAACAGTTCTGGCTAGGGGAATGGTGACAGGAGCAGTTTTTGGTTTGGTATTTTGTTTATTTTTTTTACTCGACATTTTGTCTAGCCTCTACCAGCTATTCTGAGACTCCCATTACCCCCTAGAGACCTGAGGGGTAGGTAGATGGGTGAATCTGGCCCCATGAGCCTGACAGACCCTCTGCATCACTTCCTTCCTCATGTGCTCATGTCTGTCAGCCATTGAGTTGACCCTGTCAAATGAGGTACCTCCCTGCTTATTTGTTGTTCTGTTCCTAGGTGGTGGGGGTGGTCAAATTAGGAGGGAGAAGCTGTGCTGGTCTTTCTCAACCTTCAAGGAAAATTTCCTTCTCCCCATGGCCCTTTCCTCAGATCATTACCTCAGAGGAGGCTGAGCGGCGGGGCCAAATCTACGACCGCCAGGGTGCCACCTACCTCTTCGACTTGGACTACGTGGAGGATGTGTATACAGTGGATGCTGCCTACTATGGCAACATCTCCCACTTTGTCAACCACAGTGTGGGTATTCCAGCAGATTGGCAGGTGGGCCGGGAGGGGCAAGCCAGGGCCCCTCCTCACCTTCCTGCTGTTCTTTCTTGCCCAGTGTGATCCCAACCTGCAGGTGTACAATGTCTTCATAGACAACCTGGATGAACGACTGCCGCGCATTGCTTTCTTTGCCACAAGGACCATCTGGGCAGGCGAGGAGCTCACCTTTGATTATAACATGCAAGGTGGGGGTGACAAGGGATAGGGCAATGGTGCACAGTTGCATGAGGCAGGAACATCTCTCCTCATGGGATACCAGTACCTCAGAGAACCAAGAGAAATGCTTTAGAGAGAGCATTAGGATGCTCTTCCTGACTTCCAGTTTCCCATCTGGACATTCCTGTCTACCTCTTGGGGCCCCCTCATTCCCAGTCCCTGGACACTCATACCGACTTCTCCCAAGGCTTCTGTGGGAGGAAGCTGAGGTAAAAAGTTAAGACATTCCTCCCATCTTAAGTCTTCTGTCTCAGTGTCCCTAATCCTGCACCCCCCTTCCTCACTTGTAACCTCTTTTTGGCCTTCTTCAGACCAAGCCTCTGGTTAACTCCTGCAGCCTTTAAACAGCCCCCTCCCTGATTAAATACCTCTGAGAAATGTCAGGGAGGGCTTTTGGCAGAGTTAAGATGCCTCTCTAGATGTCTGGTTGACTCTATTCCTGACCCCTGCCCAACAAAACTCTCCTAGTTTCCACTTGGTGGACTCTGCCACCCTGCAACCTCTACCCTTGTCCTTTTCAAAACATGTGTACACTCTTCATTGCTCAGCCTGGGCCCTAGCCCCAAACCACTAAGCTTAGACCCTCTCCTAACCCAAATTACAGTTCCTAAGATCTCTGGGTCTCAGGGTGAATGGTAGTGGGAAGCTTCATCAAGGCCTTCTAACAAGTCCCCTCCCCCCTTCTCTGGTTGTGACTTCACAGTGGACCCTGTGGACATGGAAAGCACTCGAATGGACTCCAACTTTGGCCTGGCTGTACTCCCTGGTTCCCCTAAGAAGCGAGTCCGTATTGAATGCAAATGTGGGACTGAATCCTGCCGCAAATACCTCTTCTAGCTCTTCGAAATCTGAGACCAGACTGACTGTAAGGGCCTGATGCCGCATTCCTACCCATCCACTACTGCCCTCCTGTCAGAAGAATGACTGTCAGAACATCCTACCTGCCACTCTCTGCCCCCACATGTTCTGTGGTCAGGGCTTTAGGGCTGCGGTGAGGACTGACTTGAGGAGTCCCCTCTCCCTGTCTCAGCCCCATCTGTGGCTGCACTTACAAACCCCTTGCCTACTCTGAGAAGTCATTTTTCTACAAAGGGACTTTTTATAGTTGAGATACATGGTTTGTTAAGGAGGTTCAAGGGGTGAGGTCCAAGCTATCCCCACAATAGAAAAATGTTTTTGCACCTGCTTCTGCCTGGAGCTTTAGAGATCTGTTACATGCTTCTGCCCTACTGCTTCAAGAATATAGGGAAACAACCCTACATCAGGTAGACCTAGTCAGATGCCAGAGTTCCCAGACCTACCCAGTATTCTCTGGGGCTAAAATCTTTATGTTAGTAAAATAAAAGGATTGGGGCTGAGGTTGGTTTCTGCTTACAGTGACCCTAGTGATTTTTGTGGAAGCTGTTGGAATGCTTCTTTAAGGGCTGTCTCTTCAGAAAAGTGGGCACCCACCTACTGTATTGAGGGCTGGATGCCTGTAACCCACTGGCCAGTGCTAGCAAGATAGTCTCAGCTTTTCTGTTCTATGAGATGGTGCTGGGACTGAGATCTGTCTTCAGGGAATTGAGAGAGGGCCCAGGAGATTGTGGGAGCTCTGAGGATGCTGGGAGCCCAGACTCTGGGGTAATAATAATTGCTGGATCTACTTGAAGCCAAGACCTAGGGGGATAGGCATAGATACTACTTAGGACAATAATGTGCATTGGTGGAATGCTTGTGAGTGCTAGGCATTGGGCAGAGCACCTGCCCCATGTGGATTATCTCAGGGAAATCTTAAAAACCAGAGTTGGATCCCAGGAAAGGGCCCATTTGGCATATGGAGAGGGAAAGGACAAGAATTGAGTGTATGTGGGACTATGGCTTACCCCCTAGGGTATAGTGACACAAAAGGGGCATCTAGCTGCCTGTCAGCGCCACACCCTAACCCTTCATACTCACCCTGGGCTTGCTTACTTCAGATGTGAAAATGGTTAAGGTTATGATGGCTGTCTCACTCCTTGAATCCCCTGTGAGGCTTCTCTAGGAAACCTGTGAACACGTGTGCCGAGAATGCCCCTGTGTGGTTGTGTGCCCTTTTCTCAGATGCCATATCTGTAGCTCTGTGTCCTTTTTCCTCTACCTCTTTGCCCCTGCACCTCACAAGATTGACTTTCAAGTATGAGTTGAATCTGGCGCCCTCCAAGCCTGGAGTGAGCATCAATAAAATGGGTTATTTTTTGAAGAAACTAAGATGCGGCACCATGTGGAAGTTGAAGTTGAGGAATGAGAGACTGAGATCTATGGTTGCCTGTAAACATGTTTCCCAAACCTCAGCCATTTGATAATCCTCAGTTTCTGCCACCACAGCATACCACTTTCATATGTCTGTATTTACATCATATCTTGTCCCAAAATAAACTTGCATAAAGCTTTCTTGCAAAAGCTTTATATTTTAAAAGGTACTAAAAAAACAAAATGTTTAGTATATCTCTGTCTAAAAGAAGAAACACATTTTCATTTGCTATGAGGGAAAATAGGTTTCTCATGAGAAACCTATATGTGGACCAAGAGGCAGTCATCAGAACAGAGGAAGGAAACACTGCATGGTTCAAAATTGGGAAAGGCATACGCCAGGGATGTGTCCTGTCTCCATACTTTTTCAACCTGTATGCAGAACAGATTATCCGGGAGGCTGGGCTCTATGAGGAGAAATGTGGGGTCAAGACTGGTGGAAGATCTATCAACAGTCTGCATTATGCAGATGATACAACCCTGCTTGCTGAAACTGAGGAGGACCTGAAGCGCTTGCTGCAGAGGGTCAAGGACTGCAGCCTCCAATATGGATTGAGGCTCAGTGTCAAGAAGATAAAGATTCTCACCACTGGACCAATTGGCAGCATCAGGATGGATGGTGAAGAGATTGAGATTGTTCACAGCTTTAGTTTGCTTGGCTCCATAGTTAACACTCTTGGCACCAGTAGCCAGGATATTAAAAGGCGCATTGCCATGGGAAAGTCTGCTGTTAGGGACCTCTCCAAAGTACTGAAGAGCAGTGGTGTCTCTTTGGAGACTAAGGTGTGTCTGATACAGGCCATGGTCTTTGCTATCACTTTTTATGCATCAGAGAGTTGGACAATGACTAAGGAGGATAGAAGGAGAATTTATGCCTTAGAGCTGTGGTGCTGGAGAAGAGTATTGAGGGTACCATGGACTGCCAGGAAAACAAACATTCATCCTGGAAAGGGTTAAACTGGGCTGCTCCTTGGAGGCAAGGATTCTGTGGCTCCGTCCAACATACTTTAGACATGCTTTAAGGAGAAACCGGTCCTTAGGGACATTATGCTTGGTAGGGTGGAGGGACAGCATAGGAGGGGAAGGTCCTCTATGAGGTGGATTGATTCAGTGACTGGGGTAATCAGGATGGGAGTATCAGAGACAGTGCGATTGGCACAGGACAGGGCAGAGTTTAGGGCTGTTGTACATAGGGTTGCTGTGAGTCGCAAGTGACTCAACAGCACATAACAACAACAACATTGAGGGAAAATAGGAAAAGTAATATAATGGAGATAACAGAGATGTTATCAAATTCTAGCTGGACTTTCTTTGTTCTAGAGGATAAGACCCCACAGCTTGCCTACTGCATTTAAAGAAAAAAAGTTTGCTCATGTTCAGGGAAGCATTCTGTAGATAGGAATACCTCTGTGCTAGGATACAGAGTGGAGAACAAAAATACGCCATTTCATATATACTGACTTATTTCCATCACTCCTCAGCCTGTCTATGAACCAGAACCTTGGGGTTTCAGCTCTGATGATTTGTATGCTGTGAACATTGATCCCATTCCAAAGAAAGGTGATCCCAGAGTGTGGAAATTATCAAACAATATTATTAATATCATATGCAAGCAAGATTCTGCTGAAGATTATCCAAAATCTACTTTAACAGCACTTCAACAGAGAACTACCAGAGTGCAGCAGACTGAGTTTAGACGGGGTCATGGTACCAGGGATAATGTAGCTAATGTTAGATGGATCTTGGCTGAAAGCAAGGAGTACCAGAAGAATATCTTTGTTTCATTGATTATGCAAAGGCATTTGTGTGGATCATAACAAACTGTGGCTGACTCTGAGAAGAATGAGAATCCTAGAAAACTTGATTGTGCTAAATGTGAAACCTATACTTGGACCAGGAGACAGTCGTCAGAACAGAGCAAGGAAACACTACATGGTTCAAAATTGGGAAGGGTGTACGCCAGGAATGTATCCTATCACCATACCTTTTCAATCTTTATGCAGAACAGATTACCCGGGAGGCTGGGCTCTATTAGGAGAAATGTGGCATCCAGATTGGAGGAAGACGACTCAATCTGCGTTATGCAGATGACACAACCCTGCTTCCTGAAGCACTTGCTGTGGAAGGTCAGGTACTGCAGTCTTCACTATAGATTGAGGCTCAATATCAAGAAAACAAATATGCTCACCACTGGGCTGATTGGCAGCATCAAAAACAGATCTCTTTACCAGAGACTGAGATTGTTCACAGCTTCAGTTTGCTTGGCTCCACAGTCAACATTCTTGGCACCAGCAGCCAGGAAATTAAAAGACATGTTGAGAAAGTCTGCTGTTAGAAGAGCAATGGTGTCACTCTGGAGACTAAGGTGCACCTGCTACAGGCCATGGTCTTTGTAATCACTTGCTATGCATCAGAGAGCTGGACAATGACTAAGGATGATAGAAGGAGAATTGATGCCTTTGAGCTGTGATGTTGGAGAAGAGTATTGAATATACCATGGACTGCCAAGAAAAGTAACAGGTTTGTCCTGGAGAGGGTGAAGCCAGACTGCTCCTTAGAGGCAAGGATTCTGAAGCTTCGTCTGACATTGGACATGTTGCAAGGAGGGACCAGTTCTTGGAGAAGGATGTCATGCTTGGGAGGGTAGAGGGACAGTGCAGGGGAGGAAGACCATCGATGAGATGGATTGCATCAGTGACTGGGGTAATGGGTGTAGGTGTGTCAGATAGTGAGATTGGCACAGGATAGGGCAGAGTTTAGGGCTGTTGTACATAGGGTCGCTATGAGTCACAGGCGACTTGTCAGCACATAACAACATGAACATTGATACCTAAATATTTCGTAGACTCCACGCAGGTGACAGAATTTCAAACAGACCTCTTTCTGTGACAAGAGACCCCCCCCCCAGATTAGCCCACCTTGGGATATGTTAGTTGCCGTCTGTCTCTTGACTGAGCAACCTTACGAAAAACAGATCTGAACCTTCCTCATGATCTCTGTCATTGTGGTAGTCACTATCCATCTTGTTTATGGTCCTCTTTCTCTTACCTAACTTTCTCAGCATGTTTCCAAGGACTGGTTCCTTCTGAAGGTAAGTAAGATGATGTTTCACCATCCTTACCTCTAAGGAGCACTCTTGTTGCACTTCCTTCAAGATAGATTTGTTTGTTCTTTTGGCAGTCCATGGGATATTCAGTACTTTTCAGTACAATTTAACCCAGCACTGTAATTCAAAGCATCAGTTCTTTGTCATCATTCATTATTCCAACTTTTTGATGCATAGGAAACAACTGAAAATACCACATCTTGTATCTTAATCTGCCATCAATCTCTTAATGGTACCTTAATCTTTAAACTGACATCCTCATTCTTTAGAACTTTGATGTGACCCTTGACAGCAGATTTTCCCTATGCAAAATGCATTTTGACTTCTTAACTGCAGCTGCTATGGGTGTTGATTGGAGTCTAAGTGAAATTAAATTATTGTCAACTTCTGTCTGGGTGGGTTTTTTTTGTATTTTTAAAAAATTTATTACAAAGTTGCCTACTGGCACAGTGGTGAGACTTTTGTTTTCTTGCACATAATTGAAGCTGTAGTGTTTGTTCTTCTGTAGCAAGTGCTTCAAGTCTTCTTCACTTTCAGCAAGCAAGGTTGAATCATCTGCATAATGCAGGTTGATGAGTCTTCCTCCAATTGCAATGCCGCTTCTGGAATAATTTGCTCAGCATACAGATTGAATTGGTATGGAAAAGGGATACAATCCTGATAACACACCTTTCTTAATTTT